CCTTTTATATTAAAGGCAGTGGAAGAGTTGTTGGAAAACTTCTCTGGAAAAAAAAAGTATTCAACCAAAGCTTCGGTTTCGAGCTTGTTATGCTCTCGTCGAAGCACGCTAACTGCGAGAAACAGGTTCCAAGGTGATTCAAACGCGAGGTAACATGTAGATCTTTAATAGCGCGTGGCTCCCTCTCTTGGAAGTCCTACAAAGCAAAAGGAAAAGAATATACCTATAATATTTTTAGTAGGTTCTAGATCGAGCATTATTGTTTAATTGTTAAATTATTTTTGAGTAGGTACTTCAGATTATCATGGTTACCTACCTATGGTTTATTTTTTTCCAAGATAGATTTTGGCATTGTCAACTTCGAAACATAAACAATGCCGCTAATGCCGCTTATTGATCGCTATTGGAAAACTGATGTCAACCTGCAGAAACACCTCATTTTGCGACCAGTCAGGGTCAAGCGTTATTGTTTATGTTTCAATGTTTTCAATGTCAAAATCTATCTTGGGAAAAAATAAAGTGTACATAAACTTCTCAGCACAACTTGGTAGGTATATTCTTAATACTTGATAGAGATATTAGCCGAACGAACATTTTTTAGGGTACATTATAATAATGTTCGTATGACAATATTCAAAGATTGTTATATAAAGTAGGTTCTTAGCACAATCTTTCAGGTAGGTGCATAAAAGCAACATTCCTAGTACATAAATAGAACGTTCAAAAATGAATATTACGATCGAAACAATCTTAGAATATTCATTAAACATTCCTAAAAGAACATTCCAAAAAGCACTTTGAGGGAATATTCTGAGAATATGAATGTTTCTTTCACTTTTCACTGTTATGTGGGTTAGCTCTGAAATCAAGAAACATGGATATGACATTGTCAGCAGGTGCTGGTAGTACATTCAATAAGGTCTTTGTTATGTACTGTAACAAATTGTTTACCGCATGAAAGAATGTTCTCTCAACCTCGAAGATCTACAAATGGTTCTTCAATTCCAACCTGGTTGAATGTTCCTGGTCTTCCTGAAGAAGCATGTAATACAAAGTAAGTATGAACCGATCGAACTCCTAGAAGCTAATTCTGATTATGCTCATATCAGATTAGCTAATGGTAAAGAAACAATTGTGTCTTCATGTCACCTTGTGCCAAGAGGTATTCCTGCTCTGCATCAAGAAACGTTGAATGAAGATGAGAATGTTAAATGCAGAATAAATAGAAATGAACCTTATAATTAAAACAACGACCAATGTAGTGTACCTGATTCCATGCACTAATTTAATTACGATGATTTTGATGCTGGAAATCTTGATGGGACACCCGGTATTACTAGGCTAAGCACATAGTGGAGCGGTAAGCAGAGCAGCGAGCAGCGCGAAGAGCAGAGCGTCAAGTGAGCAGAGAGTGGATGAAAGAATTGTATGCACATAGTGGCGAGTTAATACTCGAGTGAAAAAGATAAAAATGAATAATTTGGTTTCAACTGAAACGTCGGCGTCGTCTTTAAAAATTTGCTATTTAATGAAAAGACGCAGAAAGAAAAAAAGAAGGTGTAGTGCACACCATATAAACAGAAGCAGACTTCGATTAGGCGAATATATCACCATTTATATGAGGAATCACCGCAACATCCAGAAAAATTTCACCCAGCAGCAATCAATCAATTAATAATATAATACATTTTTCACTTACTTGTTGACTTCATTTCTCCTGCTACATCATCCCACAACTTATCTAATATAACAAAAATACTACTTATTGATTGTTCAACGTACATTTTTACAATACAGAGACAAACGAGCAAAGTAGAAAAATCAAACTTGCTTGAACGCGTCGCTTTGCTCGATATTAACAGCGCTGCTAAATCTCTGCACTGCTCTTCACTATGTGTCAAACAATTTAATCTCGTGTGTTACTTTTCGCTCTCCTCACTGCTCACTACTTTGCTCGTCGCTCCACTATGTGCTTACCCTAAGGAATCTAGACAATGAAGTTGTAGAAAATATAACTGACTATGCCTTGAAGCGACCAAAACGTCCTAAAGGTAAGCACATAGTGGAGCGACGAGCAAAGTAGTGAGCAGAGAGGAGAGCAAAGCAGCGAAAACTAACACACGAGATTAAATTGTTTAACACATAGTGAAGAGCAGTGCGGAGATTTAGCAGCGCTGTTAATATCGAGCAAAGGGACGCGTTCAAGCAAGTTTGATTTTTCTACTTTGCTCGCTTGTCTCTGTGTTGTAAAAATAGACGTTAAACAATTAATAAGTAGTATTTTTGTTAAAAATCTATTGTGGAACCAAAGATGAGATACCCAACATCACAACCGATTTATATTAGATAAGTTGTGGGATGATGTAGCGAGAAAAATGAAGTCAACAATCAAGTGAAAAATGATAATTATTTTATTAATTGATTGCTGCTGGACCAACTGGGGATTAAGGTAAAGTTAGTCCATTTTTTCATCAATCTTTGTTCTATTTTCTCCAAAATGTAATCAAAAGTTTTAATAATCATTATAAAAGATAAGAGTGAAATTTTTCTGGATGTTGCCGAAATTCCTCATATAAATGGTGATATTCGCCTAATCGAAGTTTGCTTTTGTTTATATGGTGTGCACTACACCTTCTTTTTTTCTCATTAAATACCAAAATTTTTAAAGACTTCGTTTAAAACCAAATTATTAATTTTTATCTTTTTCACTCGAGTATTAACTCGCCACTATGTGCATACAATTCTTTCATCCACTCTCTGCTCAATTGACGCTCTGCTCTCCGCGCTGCCCGCTGTTCTGCTCGCCGCTCCACTATGTGCTTAAGAAGCTTCCTGTCTATTCAAAAGATTATGAAACTGATTAGGGGTGAATGTTATATAGAAACTTTTTAGAATGTCCTGTACTTTATACCTTTGTTTCCTTTATGTCATCTTTGACAGTCTTTCAATGTAAGTTATTTGCTCTGTATAGTAAGATTCTGAGTTAATTAACGCCTGTATTCTAGAGGTCTTTTACTTCACTCCTCTATTTTGCGGTCGACATACGATCAATTGGAAGATAGTGACAATATATAAGTTACCTCGCCATAAGTCTAGGAAACTAGATGACAGAGAGAGATGGCAAAAAGGTTTGTTGGCGGTTGTAGCGCTGGGAAAGAGGTTTTTCCAATTTGAGGGCTGGAAGTCAACCAATGTCAAGTTGCCATATCCTGTATTTAAATTGTGAAGGGGGGCAACTGGCAACTTTGACACTCTCTCACCTCTTACACCTTCTAAAGTATACACAAAGACATAATATGGCCAGAAGAGTGATCATTAACCTTGACATTATCTAATAAGTTCAGACATAATATATGCTCCGACAAAAAGCGAACAGAGAATATAAATGGAAATGATGCAAAAGTCGGTATAAGCCTTGTATAAGTTCAAAAATAAACCTTGAAAAAGCTAAGACGAAGATGTTAGGTAGGTACTAAAAGATTATATGAAAGCAGTCTGAATGATAGAGGGCCTGAAGAACGACATTTCTACGAAATAAATAAATACTAAATATCTAAAACAGAGTATGCATGAAGCAGCTTTTAAAACCTTGCGTTTCGGATACCATCAAAGCTCATTAAAAAAAACAATATAATGGGAAAATGACATTGCAGGAAAGAGGAAATATGAGATATATTTTGGCACCAGGACAGTAGAAGATGAAAAGAATTTGAATGAGCACGAAGAAATGGAAGAACAGAACAATGAAAACTAAGAAAATACCTAAGACAAAACACAAGTAAAGAAAGACATCATTAGCTGGAACATTAACAGAGAGAATTGAGGGCAAGGTTCCTCGAAGAAGATGCCTGGAATAAGCAAGATACATAAAGATTGGAAATCGGAAGGTGTTAATTACCGATTTATATGTTTGAAAAAAAATATTTAATTCTCCATAAAACTGGACGATTTATGAAGTTTTCCAGAAGTATCTAATGCTAACTTAATCAGGAATGGTAGATTTCTCAAAATAAATTTGATCGACAGAGTTTTAATTGGCACGAAAAATTTGAAGGTAACGAGTAACAAATGATAATAAAGAATACACTGAAGTATCCTGCAATATTGCTCATTTAGTTAAACTCCACTTTTCGCAATACTCACCATAGTACCTACACAGGTACTTGATCTAAATTGTGAATTGTTCTTTTTCTTCCTTGAAAATATTTGTTCCATTTTGACATACTTATCATAATAAAAATGGCGAACAATTTACAAAATCATAACCTATTCAAATATCGAAAGAATCTAGAGCATATCTATAATGTAAGCCAGTAACTATAAAAATATGTAACTCGGTTGCAAATAATTTATGGACGGTGAGAAAAATCTCACAAAAGCATTCTTTTATCACACAGGAAATACTGCTTGTCGTGTTGATAAAATTCGTAATTCGTTTCAGCTGCATGTTTTGTATGTTCGAAGAAGAAATTTGAGACACGATCACGTAGATATTTTTTATTTTATTTTACCGTCCATGCTCTGTTTTTCAATCCCAGGGGCCAAAGTATATACAATAAATCGGTCAGAATGCATTTATTATAGTTAGTTCAATGGCGTGACTTCATTACACGTAAAATTAACAATAATTGATAAGACTGCAAGCAGTTGGGAAGTAGTAATTTACAACAATACGCCTCATGAAATCTGGAAACCCACTGATTGGGGAGGGTATTTTTCGAGTCGAAGGCTGATAAGGGTATAGATCAAACCTTTCGGGTAGGTTTTGTTGAAGAATGCTGTCACTCTAGGGGTTTGAGAGATTAAAATTTGGTGGGATTGATTTACATTACACAGTCATTAACAACATAATAATTTAGTTTAATGAGCCCAAAAACACACATTAAATTTTGAAGCAAAATTGGTATCGTTTCTGGAAAAGTATATAATTTAAAAAATTCTGGATAACAATTTGTTCATAAGTAATTTCCTGGAATCCTTCAAGTAGATTATTTACTTACCAAAAAAAAAAGTTGCTAAAACACCATATTATTCATAAAACAAAAAAAAATAAAAAAATCCCATGCACTAAAAGTTCAAAAGTCACTGCTGAAAATTGTCGTCCTTTGCGTTCTTCCGTAAGTTATTTCACTCTCACCGGTTGAAGTACCCGCCGATTCGCGCGCTTTGATAAAAGAATTAAGATTAAATGCGCTTTTGCTCGAATTGGCTAGCCACTTGTTCTCTGCAAGACATTTTCAAGAGGTGAAAGCTAAATGGGTACGACCGGGGACGGTTCTTATTGGAACTCGTTGGTATTTTTGCACGTTGTACCGCCAATATTCGATTGATGAGCAGAATTTAAACGATCGTTGATGATAGAAAAGATGGATATTTTGAATTTTTTAACCAGCTATTGTTTAACATAAGAAACTCATTCCATTTTGTCCTGGTATCCTATGTAATATGTTGTGATTTCTCCAGTAGGTACAGTTTTTTCCAGCAGCTTCTTCAATAATGAGTTTACACCCCTAAAAAACTTCTCATATGATTTTAATCCAGAAATTCTGAGTACCATTTCTTTGACCCTATTCCCGGAATTTATAATTTGCATCATTCATTGATATTAAAGTGTTTCTTGTTTCCTCCTGTGAAACACTGATGATAATGCCTTTTAATGTTCTACATGTTGATTATTATAGCTTTCTTGTCCTGGAATGCAGAGTCATTTTTCTTATAGTTTTTGTCGTCTGTGATATAATTTATATTGCGTCAATGAGTTTAGTGGCATGCAGACTTTAATTGAAATTGATGAAAAATTTAATTGCCTCGACTAGAATTTGACCACAGGACCCTCGCACATCCAGTGCAATGCTCTAACCAACTGAGCTTCCGAGACCTGTCTCATTTCTACCCTGTCGGTCAAGTCTTTCATCATTTATTTTTTAGTAGGGTCTGATAGGACTTTTCGTTTTTAAGTCGTGCTAAAATTGTAAAATAAATTTTAATATGTAGTAAAGGATTTATATGAAACCATATTGACTCGTCACTCTCAAGGTATATTTTTCACAAAGGGTTAAAAAATTGCGAACTTGACAGATTTCGGAAATGCTAAAAAATTCAAATAAAAGTGATGTTTGGCGATAAAAATTACATAACTACCCAAGTTTTACGAAAAAAAAACTTGAAATTTATAATAGTAAAGTTTCGGTTAAAAAATCAGTAGTAAAATAAACATACATAGGTGGTAGACGCTTTTTACTCATTGGGCGTCGACCGGTGAGATACCACCATGCCAGAATTGAGTAGCGCTAAGTGGTATCACCACGTTCCGCTACTGCGCTGGCAGTCCGGTTCCAACAATGAGTAACAGATAGCATGATGGCGCCTCCAGGATCAAAATATTCCGGAGGTAAAATACACGACCACTCGGATCTCCGGGCGTCGGGTGATCCTGGGGGTCCTTCATGCAAAGATATAAAGAGAAGATCAAAAACTCAACTCAGAATTGATTTTAGCAATATAAGAGGAATAAGTACAAATATGAATTCAGTTCACCAACATCTTGAAGAACAAAGACCTGACATCCTTGTTCTCACTGAAACTAAAATCAGTTCTGCAACACCTATTGTGAACTATCTTTATCCCGGCTATGACCTACACCACCGATTTCGACATAATTTTGGGATCTGTGTGTACATTAAAAATGACCTTTCATGTCATCGAGAGGAGAAGCTAGAACCAGTGAACCTTGATATCATATGGCTAAAATTCACCTCAAAGTCATCGACCAAGTTTATCTGCTGCCTCTACCGACCGCCAAGTAACACCGATTACCAAAACTTTTTCGCGACATTATCCGAAAGCTGTGATAGTATACAGTCAAACTATCCACAGGCGGAAATTGTCTTTTTAGGCGATTTCAACGTCCACAATATACCCTGGCTGAAACACCACAACAAAACAGATAACGAAGGCAGAGAAGCAGAAGCTTTTGCCATAAGTTGTGGTCTAACGCAGCTTGTCGATGAACCTACCCGTATCTCAGAAAGGGGCGAATTTGCAGCGCTTTTAGACTTGTTCCTAACCACCAATTCTGACTCGTACACAATTCAAGTAGATGCTCCACTTGGTTCGTCCGATCATAAACTTATAATAGCAAAGTGCGAAATGCTCATCCCACCAAGCCTACAACCACTTCCTCGTAAAATGTGGCACTATAAATCGGCAAAATGGAATGACCTAAAACAGTATTACCTGGATTTTCCATGGCAAGAGGTTTGCTTTAAAGCAGCTGATCCAACTCCAACCTAACAGTGCCAAACGGAAAAACTCCACCGTTCATTGAAAGGGTTTCCCATAGTATGCCAGAGGTACCCTTTTGTCACAGAGAAATACGAAAATCCCTCAAAAAGCTGGATACAAACAAAGCAATGGGTCCGGATGGCATTCCCGCCATAGTACTCAAAAATTGCGCCAACGAACTCACCCCAACTTTCGCAAAATTATTCAATTTGTCTTACAGGCAAGGAGTATATCCATCATCATGGAAGTCTGCCGCAGTACAACCCATTCCAAAGAAAGGAAAAAAGACAGATCCGTTAAACTATAGACCAATTGCTCTACTTCCGGTGATATCAAAAGTAATGGAAAGAGTTGTGAACAATCACCTAACCAAGTATTTGGAAAAGTACAAAATTATCAACGATAAGCAATACGGATTTCGAAAATATAGGTCAACTGGCGATTTACTTACATACGTCACTCACTTATGGCAAAAAGCGATTGAGTTGCGGGGTGAAACAAGAACAATTGCCTTAGATATATCTAAAGCATTCGACAAAGTTTGGCATGAAAATCTGCTCAACAAGCTCAAAGCAATGGGATTATCGCCGAAACTTTGCACTTGGTTTGGAAGTTACCTAGAGGACAGATCCATTTATGTTGCACTGGATGGCCAGAACTCCAACTCTTACCAAATAAATGCTGGTGTGCCACAGGGAGCAATCCTTTCGCCAACTCTTTTCCTGATTTACATAAATGACCTTATAGATAAAACAGTAAATCCACTTTATTGCTTTGCAGACGATGGCAATGTAGTCTCCTCACTCATACCACCCACAGGTCTTTCCGCACGTGAATTCCAGCATCTTAGACTAACTCAAATATCGCAGATAAATAACGACCTGGAGATAATAGAGGACTGGGGTAACAAAAACCTTGTAAAGTTCAACGCGCAGAAAACCCAAGCAGCTCTGTTTTCAAAAAAGACCAGCACCGGTGAGTCAAACATCATGCTATCTGGAAGTGCTGTCACATTACAGAGTCAGTTGAACATCTTGGGGGTTATTGCAGAGACTAACATGTCTTGGCACAGTCACGTGGCAGATATTGCTAAAAGGGCGTCCCAAAAGCTGGGGGTGCTATTTCGTACAAGACATCTGTACACACCAAGCCAATTGCTGACACTCTACAAAGCCCAGATTCGACCAACTATGAAGTACTGCTCACATATATGGAGTGCAGCACCCAAACATACCTTAATGCTTTTGAATACCCCGCACTTACTCGTAACTTGGATGGTCTCGAACATCGCAGATCTGTGGGCGATTTATCTCTCTTCTACAGGTACTATCACGGAAAATGCTCTGAAGAGTTGGCACGTATGATTCCACCGAGAGTAGCACCCACCAGGCGAACCCGTCAAACAGACGGTAACCATGAATTTACTGTCAAACTAGAGGCACCAAGAACCTCATTATATCAGAATTCATATCTCTGGAGAACAGCATCGCTGTGGAATAAACTCCCTGCGACGGTTTTCCCTGCAGGTTACAACCTGAACCGTTTCAAGACCAACATACACCGACATTTCCGCGCACTTGCCGCTTCTCGAGCGTGATAGGACATTTCCTTGCGAGTGCGCATATCCGTAAAAAAAAAATACTAGCAAATTCTTTGAAAACCCATTTTCATACAGAAATAGTAAATAGAGTATTATTGTCACAGCCTCTCTGTGAGGGGGGGTGTAGGGTGGATAGATGGAGAGAAACTCGCTCAGTTTTATATAAAAAGATGTATATTTGATAAGAATTTTAAGTCATTACGTCAGGAATCCTCCAGGATGCATGCTCTTCCGCTACTACGAGATATGTACGAGATCTTTGAGGTGGCCTTCTTGACTGTGAAAACGAGTATTCGAATCCTGTGCTCCTATGAGACGGTCTGAATGATTCTTTTAGTGTTGTAGCTGCTGCATTTTTTGGCCTCAAGTTTTATGCTGGTTTGCCTGACATCTATATCGCTTCAGGCAAGCTGTCGTGAATTTCACTTGAGTGCCTTCGCCATGGTGTCGTGAATTTCTCTTTTGTCGACGTACCGCGTCGTGGCGTGGTTGGTCATAGGCTTGCTTTAAAGACGCCTAACGGCGTTGGTTCTTGGGCGTCGGGTTCGAAACGGCGCCTCCACCATATGTCACAGCCTCTCTGTGACGGGGGGTGTATAGATGGAGAGAAACTTGCTCAGTTTTATGAAAAAAGGTGTATATTTACTTACGTCATGAATCCTCCAGGATGCAAGCTCTTCCGTGGGAAGGGCCACACGCTCGACGCTACTTAGGAGGCAATGTCTGTTTGATGCTAATTTTACGCAGAATGTTAATCGTCGTTTAACTGATCCTCATCTAGAGGGGCTTTCCAGGGTGGCGGTACTTGCACTAGTTGACGATACAGTTTCCCAGGGGGGCTTTCCCAGGGTGGCGGTACTTGCATTGGGGAGACTTGATTCCAGAGGGGTGTTGCCAGGATGGCGGTACTAACACTGGTTCAAGTATTGTCCGTCGATTTTAATCTGACACTTTCCATATGAGGAGCGAGAAGGTAAAGTATATGGCAAAAACAAGTGTGACGTCAGGTGACCATTGGCATTCTAACGTAGGGAGCACAGCTCACATTTTTTTGGAGTATCAAATTAAAATCGACGGACTTTAGGTATGTCTGTTGCTCGGCTTGGCCCACTATTCATATGAATTTATTGCTGAGTTGCAATAAACATCCAATCGAATCAGCAATTAAATTATTAAGGTTTAATACCGGGTCCTCCTTTCCTAAGTACCTATAGTTGACATTATGCCAAATAGACCTAGAGCTATCTTTTACAAAACAATATTTTATACAGGGTGTCTCTGAAATCAGCAATTTTATTATCAATTC